AACCAAGAGATGTCACATCCCTCACTTTTATATCACTTTATATCACATTTATAAAGTGATATAAAACACTTTTATATCACTTTAATGGTCATAGCTTTCCCCCATAGAATCCTGGGAACTGTAGTTTGTTAACTGTGCTGGGAATTATAGTTCCAAGTGGGGGGGTCTCCTATCAACTTGCAGCGGTCTTAAACTACAGTTCTCAGCATTTTTGGGGGGGAAAGTTGTGGTATAAATGTGCTTTTAAATGCATAGTGCAGAGAGCACCTTAGCGATTAGAGAATCTGCAAGTTTATCATCGCTCCCCCCCCCCACTTTTCCAGTCTTAAATCACCACATAAGTCTGCGATTTCTTATTTTAAAAATCCTCAAGGAAATTCACCAGCATTTTAGTGCGAAATGTACACGCTTGTATGCAATTCCGCCTAATGCACACATTTTTAAAATGTATTTTTAATCTTTGTTGGAAGCCGCTCAGAGTGGCTGGGGAAGCCCAGCCAGATGGGTGGGGTACAAATAATAAATTATTATTATTATTATTTTGTGAAAAGCAACTTTCCCAAATGTCATGAGCTACTTACTGAGACTCCCCTGGCATCCTCCGTCCTCTGCCCTGTCATAAACGATGACGGTCCTGTCCGTCTTCACTATAGCCAGGTAGCCTTGTTTGCAGGTGACTTGGCGGATGGTTCCAGGGTCCTCTTTGCAAAGGCTGGGATGGTAGCCGACAGCCTCTGGGAACAGCAGCAAGGCTTTGGATCGCAAGGGTGAGGGATGAGGCAAGTCCGACCGGGTGCCCACCTCAGTCCTGGGCTTGCGACTTCTGGACCTCCTTGTCATCTTCTCTCCCAGTTTTCCTCACAGGCAGTCCACTCTCAGAACTAGGACCACCAGCGCCAGCCCTTTATTCTGGGACGCAAACCATTGTTGTGTCTCTGCCAGAGAGAGAAATGTTTCCGACTTTGGCCAGAACTGAAAGATGCAAAAGGAGCACAAGCGTTCAGGATGCCAGCAATCTGGATGGATGGCTGATGCTCCTCTCTGAGTTGTCACCCGAGTTCTGCTCTAAGGAGTGCCAAAGAGTGAGACTTCTTGGGGGAAGGAGCCAAAAAAGAGAGAGCTGTTTCTCTCTAGTTTCTGTTTACTCATTTGCTTTCGAAACAGAGTAGGAGGCGGGTCTTCCTAGGAAACAGAAACCGTTGCTGCTGCTGCTGCTGCTACTGCTGACAGTGAGAAAGAGTCTCTCTCTGCAAATCCCAGAAGTGAAGCCCTGTTAACCTGTCGCAACAGAACAAGCAAGAGTCTGGTGTCACCAGCTTAAAGACTAGGCACATTTATTAAGGCAAAAACTGTTTTGTGGACAACAGTTCACCCAATCAGATATATCTATGGATTGCAGTTCACAAAAGCTTATGCAGTATAATGAATGTGTAAAGGCTGTGCCAACAGGCTCTCACTGCTCTTCGCAAAAGAAGCATGCCGTAAGAAAAATGAACATTGTTTGCTGTGGCATTATCACTGAGGTGATGCCTTGCCCTTTTAAGAAATATATGCCCTGTTTCAATACAGCTGAACTTCAAAGGGAGACAACAACAGTTTGATTTATTAAGAGGTTCAGTGCTGTCACCTTGTCAATCAAACAGGGACAAAGGCTGTTGTTATAAATTCATGCCACGCGTGTTAATCAGGTCAACTTATGCCAGGTTGTCTGTTATCAACAAAAATCAGTTTTGTGAATGAACACTGCCAGTTCCTAATTATCTGTCTGTATACTTTTTAAATTTCTCTCTTGACCTCATTGTTTACATTCTCTCTACCCACTTTCAATCATTTGTATATGGCAACTCAAGGTTCATGCATCTGAGAAGGGGACCGCTGTTCATAAATACTCTTTTTGACACAGACATGTAGAATGTTGACATGAACTTTGGTTTTTTTTATCGTTGATTTTAATTATTTATAATGCTTTAGGTGGCTGTTTTTAAGCGTTTTCTGATCCTTTGTTTTATTCTTTCTGTAAACTGATTTGAGGTTTCATGACAACCAAGCAGTATACAACTCTCATGAAATAAATAACTGGGTATGTTCTCCCCTCCACTGTCAGAGGCAATGTCTCTGAACACCAGCAGCTGGGAATCACAAATAAGGACAGTACTGTTGCATTCTGGTCCTGCTTTCAATGGGAATCTGGTTGACCACTGTGAAAGCAGGCCTGACCCAGCCAGCTCTTATTCTCTCCATAATGGTTCACCTGTCCCTCTTTCTGTCCCCAGGAAGCTGCCTTAGGCCCATGTAGCCTCATCCTGCCTACTTTGACTTGCAGTGACTCTCAAACAACTCTTTTAACAACTGCTACCCAACCTAGTTAACTGAGTCTGACAGAAACAGAATTGGGATCTTTTTGCCAAGTTGGGATAACCAATGAGGTGTCTCCAGCTGTTGTTGAACTACGACTTCCATGATCACTAGCCCTAATGGCTGGGGCCGAGAATGGTAGCTCGAGAACATCTTGAGGACCCCAAGTTGGTGGTTCCTGCCCCTTCAAGTGGAGACATAAAAATGAATGAGGTGTTTGTTTCCCCCCCTTATACATGAGAGAGAGAGGGGTTGCTAAAGGCAGTGGCAGAGTTGCAACTGGTCTGCTAGTTTAGCAGTGGTCGAATTCATAGAATTGTACAGTTGGAAAGGGACCACATGGGTCATCTAGGAATCTTTTGCCCAACATGGGTCTGGAACCCTTGACGCTGAGATTAAAAGTCTCATGCTCTACCAACTTGAGCTTTGTGTCCCATCCTCTCCATTCAAGAGTCACCAACCTGATTTTATATGAAAGAATCAGAAGGGATGCCAAGGGTCATGTAGCCCAACTCCCTGCAATGCAGAAATCTCAACCAAAGCATCCTTGTAAGGAAGGCCATCCAGCCTCTGTTTAAAAACCTCCAAGGACGGAGAGTCCGCCACCTTCTGAGGGAGTCAGTGCCATGGTCAAACTGCTCTGTCAAAAAGTTCTTCCTGATGTTTAGTCGGAATCTCCTTTCTTGGAACTTGAATCCATTGGTTAGTGCTGGGGTCAGCAAACGTTTTCCGCAGGGGGCCAGTCCACTGTCCCTCAGACCTTGTGGGGGGCAGGACTATATTTTTTGGGGGGGATAATCCCCCTAGGGACGTGGGTGGCACTGTGGGTAAAAGCCTCAGCGCCTAGGGCTTGCTGATCGAAAGGTCGGCGGTTCAAATCCCCGCGGCGGGGTGCGCTCCCGTTGTTCGGTCCCAGCGCCTGCCAACCTAGCAGTTCGAAAGCACCCCCGGGTGCAAGTAGATAAATAGGGACCGCTTTCTAGCGGGAAGGTAAACGGCGTTTCCGTGTGCGGCTCTGGCTCGCCAGAGCAGCGATGTCACGCTGGCCACGTGACCCGGAAGTGTCTCCGGACAGCGCTGGCCCCCGGCCTCGAGTGAGATGGGCGCACAACCCTAGAGTCTGTCAAGACTGGCCCGTACGGGCAGGGGTACCTTTACCTTTTTAATCCCCCCCACCGGCTCTCCCCTCCCTTCTCCACAGCACTGGACAAGCCCCAGTGGCTGCTTACCTGTGCCTTGCGAGCGGCAGGGGCTGGCGGCGGTGGAGGGACAATGGCTCCGGAGAGGGGCTGCTTAAAATAGCTCAGCCAACCGCGGCTCAACAAAGCCCAGCCCCTTGTCGCGAATTCTTTGCGTTGCTTTAGCAGAAATGCTCAGAGTTCTAGGTTCTTCAGTACAGTATTATTTATTGTGGGCTATATATACAAGTGGGACGCGGGTGGCGCTGTGGGTTAAACCACAGAGCCTAGGACTTGCCGCTCAGAAGGTCGGCGGTTCGAATCCCCGCGACAGGGTGAGCTCCCGTTGCTCGGTCCCTGCTCCTGCCGACCTAGCAGTTCGAAAGCAGGTCAAAGTGCAAGTAGATAAATAGGTACCGCTCCGGCGGGAAGGTAAACTGTGTTTCTGTGCACTGCTCTGGTTCACCAGAAGTGGCTTAGTCATGCTGGCCACATGACCTGGAAGCTGTATGCCGGCTCCTTCGGCCAATAAAGCGAGATGAGCACCACAACCCCAGAGTCGGCCATGACTGGACCTAATGGTCAGGGGTCCCTTTACCTATATCTACAAATATCTACAGAAGCAGTTAATACAGTCAGAGTACCTGGCTGCACCTTAAAGCAAATAGGAAGACTCTTTCTCTCTGACCACACTCCTCTATACCACCATCTGCTGGACAGGCTTCCCTTTTAAACCGATGACAGCCAATCAACTGTCAGCACATTACTGCTGAGTCATTCTGACCCAGCACCTCCATAGAAAGTATTGCATCAGCCTGTTGCATCCACTAGCAAACTCAAGCCTGCAGACTTACTATCTTACACAGCATTCTGTGAATCCCGACACCCCTTTCCTCCTCTAGGCAACACGATGACCAAGACATTGCCTAGACATTGCTGACGTTCTCTTTGCAACACAGGGGTTTGTTTGGATGACCCTCAACCTCTAGGCAGGGCGAGGAGAAACCAGGAGGGAGGGAGGGAGGAGGCGCTGCCACCGCAGTGTGTGTGTGTGGGGGGGAGGGAATGGCACAGCCCAATCAGAATCCCCATTCCGATCCATGTGCTGATTCCGGGACCGTCTGCAGGCTGGATCCAGAAGGCAATTGGGCCAGATCTGGCCCCCAGGCCTTAGTTTGGCTACCCATGGGTTAGTGTCTTACCCTCCAGACCAGGAGAAAATAAGCTTGCTCCATCCTCTATGTGACAGCCCTTTAGATATTTGAAGATGGCTATCATATCTCCTCTCAGTCTCCTCTTGACCAGGCTAAACATACCCAAGCTCCCTCAACTGTTCCTCAATTGCCTTGTAAACAGAAATTCCCATATGATCCTTTGAGGATTGCTTCAATAGAACTAGCTGCATATGGGTCAAGTTAACACAGTGACACTTTGGAAAGAAAGGAGACAATAAGCAGCTGAGAATTTATTTAGCAGGGTTTTTACCGTAAAATATTAAACACACAGTCTGTTTTGCCTGAAAGTCTATAATTCCAATATACTTTGCTTTTAGTACTCTTTCCAGAATAATATGTGTGCTGATTTGAATCTATTCTGTGTTCTCACTTACATTTTGGTACATATAAATAAATAAGAACAATAAAAGATAACATTCTGCATCTCCAAGTGGAGTGAGGCACCAGCCTGTCTGTTCACACATTAAAATGTCCGTGCTGTTGTTGCAATGGTACCTTTAAAAGTAATCATTAAAATGCACCTTGAAAGTGGGATAATAGGAAAACTACAGGAAAATAACAATTTAGGAAATAACTGGCTGGATGAATTAGCCCTGGAGTAATGAGGCCACTGTGGACGTGATTACACATAGAAGCAGGCTATACTAAGGTCTAAAATATTTTTTCTTAAATTGTGGGTGTGGGGAGAGAGAAATCAGTCAATCAACTGACCAAAGGCCAGTTAAAAGGCCAGTGAGCAGACTGCCTGATAAGGCAAACTTCCCTTCATTTGAAGACAAAAGCTACACATCTTGCAAGTCCCTGTATTAGAGTTGCTTGCCAAAGCCACGATTGTTCTCAATAGCCTGGAGAAGTTTCTCCTTCAGTTTTCCTGTGGTTGAATAAGGTGGCAAAAGAAGGAGGTGAAAGCAGATCTGGGCCTCAGGGATATGTTCTTCTGAAAGTGACTTGTGCGAGTGGATTGTTAGCTTCAAGGAGTCCATTCCTACCACAGGGACCCGGTCACTTCCTAAAACAAACACTAAATCGACAAGGAGGAGGATTAGACAATGCAAGGGCACAAATAGAAAATATTCAGACCATTCCAAACATCTTTTAATGCTACAATCTAGCTTTGCAAGTTGTCTTTCCTCCCCAGTACAGTTTTGATCAAAAGTGTTAAGTTGTGGGTGAACGTATCAGATGACACAGCAATTCTTCAAACAGTTCTTATTTATTCACAGGCCAGAACAGAACTGAACTGAAGGGTTCAGCCAGCCTGCTTATATAGAGCTCCACTACAACGCAACTGTAACAACTTTCTGTAACTATCCAATCACTGAATGTCACTTTCAATCCCTTATTTGCATATGTGGACCTGAGTGAAAACTATCTACAGTATCTGGCCCAGGGTGAGAACTTCAGTACATAACAAAAAGCTCATTGCATTATGAAGGAAAATATCAGTGCTGTTTCTATATACAAATAGAGAGAATCTTTTGAGGTTTCCGTGCAGGATTTCAAGCGCACTCCTTGAAAGACAGGGGGACGCGGGTGGCGCTGTGGGTAAAACCTCAGCGCCTAGGACTTGCCGATCGCATGGTCGGCGGTTCGAATCCCCGCGGCAGGGTGAGCTCCCGTCGTTCGGTCCCAGCTCCCGCCCACCTAGCAGTTCGAAAGCACCCTTAAGTGCAAGTAGATAAATAGGTACCGCTTTATAGCGGGAAGGTAAATGGCGTTCCGTGTGCTGCTCTGGTGCCGGTTCGCCGGAGCAGCTTCATCACGCTGGCCACGTGACCCGGAAGTGTCTGCGGACAGCGCTGGCTCCTGGCCTCTAGAGTGAGATGAGCGCACAACCCTAGAGTCTGTCAAGACTGGCCCGTACGGGCAGGAGTACCTTTACCTTGAAAGACAGGCTCACACCAGTTGATTTCCAGAAAAAGATGGGCTTTCAATGACCGCTTGAAGGTTGGGCCTTGAGAATGGGATACTTACACAGAAAGCCTTTTTTGTCCGCCAAAGTGAGTTCGTGGAAAACCTTCCAGAACATCCTTACGGTAGGGTGTGTTTCACTGTATATCCCCCAGTACACAGTGTTCTTCGTAGAAAAGGGGAAGGAAAATGAAATCAGACAAAGAGAAAGATGAATAAGTGAAGCTTGAAAAAAAATAAAATAAACCCAATATACTGATGGTCTAGCAAGTAGTTCCACACGCCCCACCCCTCTCCACCAACCTTCTCATATAACTCCCAGTCATAATTTGCGTTCCCAATCGCCACATCCATCAGTTCCTGAGGCTCAAAGAAGGCAACCATCCGTTCATCGAGGACTTTGTAAAACCCTCTCTTGAACTCTTGGAAAATTCCCTCCACTGATTTGTTGAAGACGTAATCCACATACTTGTTGACAAACTCCTTCCTTTGGAAGAAATGAGGGTAAAACATTTAATAAGTGGGCAGGTAATTTGACTACCTAGATAGATAGATAGATAGATAGATGATAGATAGATAGATGATAGAAACTTTAGCAGCCACCAGGAGGCTGCAGACAAATCTACAGGCAAACTCTGATTTGAATCTAGGTCTTCCTGGTCCAAATCCAGAACTCTATTCAATCATACTATGTTTGCATGTGTTCACTTAATAGCAATGTACAAGTTTCTTTGCCAGGATACTTAACAGAGATATTAGGAACTTCTAAAAATTAATGTTCTGGGCCTACTAGGATATACCGTGATGTAAAATGTACCAGTGGTCCAGAAGATTTGAATAGCCGGGGAGACACCATAATGAAACAATGTCTTGATCAAGATGGCAGCAGACCAGGGGATGCAATTCAAAATGGTTAGGGCTATTTTAACTGCAGATTGAAAGACTTGTGTCTCTTGCTTTAGCCTAGCTCCTGCTTTCCTTTTCTATATTCCACTTATTTGACTTGGATTTTTGGGGAAAGGAACCCTTGCAGATAGGGTATGGATTTCCCTCCTAAAAAGTAAGGGGAAATGGTGTGTGTCTTATGGAGCGAATGCAGGCAGGAGGCTCTGTTTAGCGCTCCCTTTAAAAAAGCCACGCTTAGCATGTGTGCAGCTCTTGGGGGCTTTTCTGCGAGGAGGGAGAAGAGACTGACGGGCTGCCCTCTATCCCTTCCCCCACCTCCCGGAAAAGCCAGCAAGAGCCGCTGCCAGGCACTGTTCAGCGCTTCCTTGTAAGGGCTCCCTTTCGTCCCTCATTCCGCTTTGCTGGGAAGCCAGGAGAAGAAGAGGCGCTGCGCAGCTATCGCTCTTGCTCTGCTGGCCTCTCAGCGAAGTGGGAGGAGGGACGGAAGGGTTTAAAGCAAGAAAAACGAGAGCCGCTTACATCCTCTGCACAGAATATTTTTTTTCCTGCTTTCCCCCTCTAAAAACTAGGTGCGTTTTATGGTCAGGTGCATCTTATGGAGCGAAAAATACGGTAAGATGTCACCAACATAACAGTCCAACCTGCATGCTGCTTTTCAAAGGTCCTCTTCAAAGCAGTTCATGGTCAAAAGGTTAAAAAAAAACACCTCACTAATAAAATCATGTCATTTTGAAGTTTTATGAATCTAAAACACAATGGTGTCTTTAAAAGTCCTAACAAAATAAACAAATTCCAGCTGTGGTCCCATCCCTCACCCGCCAATCGCCCTCAGACCCGCCCTGACACATTTCCTGCCAACATCCTCAGACATCATTACATACTTGTTTGAATTGTTCACAGCGACAGAACTGCCGTTTGGAATTAAGTCGACATCCACGTTGTCCCAAGATATCTGGAAATATATGTTTAAGGAAAGGTATTGAAAACAAAGTCTCTCTCTCTCTCTCTCTCTCTCTCACACACACACACACACACACACACACACAGAGAGAGAGAGAGAGAGAGAGAGAGAGAGGGACTGTAATTTTGTCACTTAACACTTGATAAGCTTCATACAATACCTTTCAGTTACAGGGAATTCTATGAACAGCTTTTGGCTAACGATGCAGTCATTAAAAGTCATTTTAGGGGTTCATGGACTAGGTACAAGCACCACACCTGTTGAAATAGCTATACAGTGGTACCTCGGGTTACAGACACTTCAGGTTACAGACTCCGCTAACCCAGAAATAGTACCTTGGGTTAAGAACTTTGCTTCGGGATGAGAACAGAAATCGCTCAGTGGCAGCGGGAGGCCCCATTAGCCAAAGTGGTACCTCAGGTTAAGAACAGTTTCAGGTTAAGAACGGACCTCTAAAACGAATTAAGTTCTTAACCCGAGGTACCATTGTATTTCTGTTGAAACAGCTGTATTTCTAGGGAGAACCATTTGATTTTTTAAAATGAATTCCCATGACTGTTGCTTTTATATCATATTTTAGCCACATTCCCAAATGTTAAAAGAGCCACCATCACTTGCAGGAAGAAGCACTCCAGAATATACCACAATGGAGTAGGGTGAAGAAGAAGAAAATTAGCCAATGAGACAAAGCACATTTCAGGAGTTGCTTGCTTGCTGTTAACTTAAAAGACAAGCGATTCTTAGACATTACCAGGTGAAAGAGACACGGTGACCATGTCACAAGAAGAGAATATTTTTTTTTTAGGTACTCACATTGTAAGTCAGTTCATGGCTTGTTTCGAAGTCATCATGCTCATAATCAAGAACTGCCTGCAAACTCCTTGTTAACGAAACAAAAGGAAATAGAAATGGATATATTTTTACCCCTAAAATGTTTACAGCATATATTTAGAAGCCTTACTCAAACAGTTAAGAGAGTGGGAAAGGCCAACCCATCTGGTCTTATTTTCTTTCTTTTTATAATCATTTTTATTAGCTTTCAATTACAATAATCCAATAATAGACTCATTATAACAATGCCAAATTATAATACAATTACTAATACTGTACCAATCATTCAGATACCAAGTTATATAATTTAGTGGTACCCTGCGTGCTAGAATTGATGGCTTGATCATTTACTTTATTTCTGCGTTCCAAAATCTTATTAATTTCAATTACACTCCGGTCAAAATAGCAATCCCTTATACAACAACTGCAGTATTAACAACTTCCATTCATATTGACACATTAAATGATTTATAAAACTACAGGTGAGGCACTCAAACTACATCCTTGTTCTTGTTCTAATATCCCACTGTTGTTTCAGAAATTTCCCATCCATCTGGTCTTATTTTCTTGTTTGATTCTCAGTTTAGGGCCCCAAGTGTATGTCCATGTGGTTTGGACATACCTAATCAAGCACATGTCAATCAATCTATCATTGCTCCTGGGCTCATTGCATCTGGCAGGGAAGAGATGGCTGTCTGGCTCCAGGAGGTGGTAAATTCCTTGCTGAGATGGTGCGGTCCCAACCTCCCTAGGAGGCCCTAGTACAATTGTTCCTGAAAACCCTTCCTTTGAAGCAGCAAGTTCTTGTCTATAGGTAAGATGCTCAACTGAGCACCTGTTAGACAACTAAGTGGCTTATGTGGTTTCTAACAGCCTGATGCCAGGTTTTTTGGGGGGGAGCCCTCTTTTGATTGCAGCAGTGCCTCCAAGTGGGGCAATGGATTTAACCCTTTCCACACTCAGTTTCCTCCTACCTAAACTGTTTCCCAAGGTACTGTAAGAACTCAGTGGGGGCGGGGAACCAAAACAAGACAAATATCAGGAGTTCTGATTGGTGACTTCCATGTCTTGCATCATTTTGTTTTAAATCAGGGGTGGGGGCACCAGATGCTGCTAGACTCCCAAAACCCCCAATGGTCAGCATGTCCAATGGTCAGGCATGGCAGGGCCTGCTGTGTAGCAACATCTAGGTGGCCAGAGCTTCCTTACTCTTACCTAAAATCATTTCACAGTGCAGTGGTACCTCGGGTTAATAACTTAATTCGTTCTGGAAGTCTATTCTTAACCTGAAACTGTTCTTAACCTGAAGGACCACTTTAGCTAATGGGTCCTCCTGCTGCCAAGTGAATATTTGCACAAGTGGGGAAAAAATTCTGACTTTGGGAGCCAACCTTAAATGGGCCAAGATCCACAGGTTCTACTTTACAGAGGCCCCCATTTGTACTCTTCCTGAGAGAGATTGAACTGGCAAATTCATCAATCCCTATACAGTGGTACCTCGGGTTAAGTACTTAATTCGTTCCAGAGGTCCGTTCTTAACCTGAAACTGTTCTTAACCTGAAGTACCACTTTAGCTAATGGGGCCTCCTGCTGCTGCTGCACTGCCGGAGCACGATTTCTGTTCTCATCCTAAAGCAAAGTTCTTAACCCGAGGTAATATTTCTGGGTTAGCGGAGTCTGTAACCTGAAGCATATGTAACCCGAGGTACCACTGTACTGAGGTTCCCTCTACTTGTGGAGGCTGAATCTTGGGGCTGAATGTGACACGGCCTTTGTAAGTTCAAATGGATAGAATATCCTAGAGTTAGGAGACTCAGCCTGGTCCTACCAAGCGAAACAAGAAACTGGAAATTACGGGAATAGGTGGGAAGAGTTCAAGCCACTTACCTCCCTAAGACAGGGCTTAGCTCCTTCAGATCATCAAGGGTAGGTTTCTTGCCCAGCAGTTTTTTAAAGGCAGCAAGCGGGAAAGGCACATAGGCAGTGACTCTGTTGAACATTGGAGAGCCCGCAGAGGATCCCAAAGAAAAGATATTTATTCTTCTCCACCGAGGGCTGCAAGGACACAAGATCACAGCGACAGGAAATGGGTTGGATGTTCTAAGGGAGATGCACCTTAAGAGGGAAACTGGTCTGTTATGGACAAACCAAGGCCAGCGGCAGAGCGACAGCTATCAATCTCCATCCATACCCTAACGCACCCATTCATGCAAGAACATGCACAAACACTTATTCGCGGGCACATTCCCAAGCCCTTTCTTCAAGCCTAAGTAACAGGGGGGCGGGTTCTCCACCTGCCCACAATTAGGCTTGAAAACAGCCTCGCATTAGAGCCAACAGGAATCTAGTTTCAAGTCTAATATCCAGAGGGAGAGAAAATTGTGGATTGGATGGGGAGGCCTCATGGGTTGATGGAATCTGGGGAGCCATGGTTACACCCACCCTGTGGTAAAAAACAACAACTGCTCAACTCCAGCCTGGAAAAGAGATCTGGGGCCTCTGCAATGGGTTTTTTTTGGGGGTTTTTTGTGGATATAGAAGTTTGCAACATTCAGACCTACACAGGTTGGGCTTTACACACTCATGAAGTAAGCCCAGCAGTGAAAGAGGCATGCCTCGAAAGAAGGGTGACTGAGAAATGGGTGGCATCTGGAATAGCCTGGGAAAGGGATACAGAAGCTCTGGCCTGGGGGCCAAATGCCCCCCACAAATGTCTCTATCAGGCCCTTGGAAATCTCACAGCTCAAAGTCTGTTACTAGCCCTGCTTTGCATCCTGGGAGTGTTTTTTGCCTGGCTGGAATGTGTCCTAGAACTCTTGTTTCTCTGTATGGGAGATACAGAGGGGGATGTCTTCCCCTTATATCTTCCCCTTATGAGGAACGGCTAAGGGAGCTGGGCATGTTTAGCCTGGAGAAGAGGAGGTTAAGGGGTGATATGATAGCCATGTTCAAATATATAAAGGGATGTCACATAGAGGAGGGAGAAAGGTTGTTTTCTGCTGCTCCAGAGAAGCGGACACGGAGCAATGGATCCAAACTACAAGAAAGAAGATTCCACCTAAACATTAGGAAGAACTTCCTGACAGTAAGAGCTGTTCGACAGTGGAATTTGCTGCCAAGGAATGTGGTGGAGTCTCCTTCTTTGGAGGTCTTTAAGCAGAGGCTTGACAACCATATGTCAGGAGTGCTCTGATGGTGTTTCCTGCTTGGCAGGGGGTTGGACTCGATGGCCCTTGTGGTCTCTTCCAACTCTATGATTCTATGATTCTATGATTCTATGTGAGTGTAGTTTGGGGCTGACTACATGCCATACTTTTAAAGCACATTCTTTCCCTCAAAGAATTCTGGGCACTGTAGTTTGTTAAGGGTTGTTGGGCACTGGAACTCTGTGAGGGCAAAATACAGTGCCCAGAATTCTTTGAGGGGAAGAATGTGTTTTGAGTATGCTTCAGAGGAATAGGACAGTGGTACCTTGGTTCTCGAACTTAATCCGTTCCGGGAGTCCGTTCGACTCCCGAAACCGTTCAAAACCCAAGGCGCAGCTTCTGATTGGCTGCAGTAGCTTCCTGCACTCAAGCGGAAGCCACGTCAGATGATCAGCTTTTGAAAAACGTTCGCAAACCGGAACACTTACTTCCGGGTTTGCAGCGTTTGTGTTCTGATTTGTTCAGCAACTAAGCCATTTGAGAGCCAATGTACCACTGTATGGACACAACCCTACTGTAGAAAAGCAGTAAAACTTTCATTTGGGCTCTGTCTACTTTCACCTCTGGCCCCCCACACCTGTGGCATGTGTTCATCAGAAGGGAATGTGCCCCACTGGCTTAAAAAAGGGGTCAGGGGGTCACCTACATCTGACCTAGATGTTTGTTTGGACCAGGTCCTCTGCCTGAAATACTTACCCTAGAAGGAAACCATATGGGGGAGTTTTGCTCACAGCACATAAACATCCCATAGTCCGGCTGCACCATCTCCTCAAACACATAGGAAAAGAACTCAAACAAGACTCCTCCAGTTTCGTGACCAGGCATCTCGCCTTCAAACTCAATCTGCAAGACAAAAATAAAAATCAACCATATTGACCTCACAAAGGAGAGAACAGAAAATAGGAAAAGCACATTTACTAGGCCACTCAATCTTTAATTGCTTGGGCCCCTTTTTTTGAGGCCCAGTTCAGGAGTCTGTATATAGGAGAGAGATAAGATGGGATATATTTGGGTCTGTAGGAAACAGATTGAGGTTGAATCCTGTTAAGACAGAAGCACTGTTTTGGGGGGACAGGAGGTGGGCAGGTGCGGAGGCTCCCTGGTCCTGAATGGGGTAACTGTGTCCCTGAAGGACCAGGTGTGCAGCCTGGGAGTCATTCTGGACTCACAGCTGTCCATGGAGGCGCAGGTCAATTCTGTGTCCAGGGCAGCTGTTTACCAGCTCCATCTGGTATGCAGGGTGAGACCCTACCTGCCTGTGCACTGTCTCTCCAGAGTGGTACCTGCTCTAGTTATCTCTCGCTTGGACTACTGCAATGCACTTATGTGGGGCTACCTTTGAAGGTGACCCGGAAACTACAACTAATCCAGAATGTGGCAGCTAGACTGGTGAATGGGAGCGGCCGCCGAGACCATATAACACCCGTCTTGAAAGACCTACATTGGCTCCCAGTACATTTCTGAGCACAATTCAAAGTGTTGTCTGCATCCCCATCTGCAGTGTCTGCATCCCCATCGTTCTGCCCGGACACTGAGGTCCAGTTCCGAGGGCCTTCTGGCGGTTACAGGGAACCAGGCAGAGGGCCTTCTTGGTAGTGGCACACGCCCTGTGGAATGCCCTTCCAGCAGATGTCAAAGAGAAAAACAACTACCAGACTTTTAGAAGACATCTGAAGGCAGCCCTCTTTAGGGAAACTTTTAATCTTTAATTGACTATTGTATTTTAATATTCTGTTGAAAGCCGCCCAGAGTCGTGGAAATGGAAATAGGCAGCACCCAGGAAAACAACGTCACACATGTAAACAAACAAACAAACAAACAAAACAAACAAACCTCACCAAATAATGTGCTTCAAATTTGTCCAGAGCTGAGTGACATGCTATTTTATATTGGGATTGTCTTTCCTTGTCGGAATATCCCCAGTTTGCCCAATCCAGACCTAGTCATTGAGGTCGTTTCACCTAGTTCCAGAGTTTAGCCCTGAACAACATGACTATGCATTACTTTAGCAGGCCTTAGGCAGCTTACCAAGAGTTGCATTTTCAGGCTAATGTCCTCTACTTGACTCAGTTTGCGCAAAGTATCTTCCACAAGGTTCTTGCGTCGTACCCTCAAAGGGAAGACAGGCAGTTTAGGGAGTTCGTCCTTTCTCAGGAGTCGATTGCGTACCAATGTATCACAAGCATTGGCCTTTACAATCTGCGGAAAGCGGCACATATTTAATAAGTGCTTCAGAGACGCTAGGTAGGCATTCATTGTGTTAAGTTGTGGGTGGACATATCAGACGACATACCGATTCTTCAAACAGCTCTTGTTTATTCAGAGGCCAGAACAGAACTGAACGGAAGGGTTCAGTCAGCCTGTTTATATAGAGCTCCAGTACAACGTAACTGTAACAATTTTCTAAAACTATCCAATCACTGAACGTCACTTTCAATCCCTTATTTGCATATCTATCTATGCCCCTGCTGGCCCAGAGTGAGAACTTCAGTACATAACAAATTGCTAAGTACCATATACTAATGGGGAAAGGAACTGAAGGCAGGCAGGAGTCCCTGAAGGAATGAAAGGCATAATGAGAAATAATTCCAATGAGAGAGAAGAGTGGGAGGTTATATTTTTAAAAATCCAGTTGCGGCTGCACAAAACACTTAAATGATGAGCTGGAGGGATGGGGGAAGAGACAAACATACATTTTTTTATTTATTAAATTTATATATTGCCCTCCCTCGGACAGGGTTCCCCATCCCTGTCCTCTGCAAGAGTCACTTCCACATAGCTAATGGCCTGGAGGAGCAAACACAATTCTGCTCCTCCATTATGCACCCGTCTCTGCATGCAGAGACTCCTGCACACTAAGAAGAGTGGGAAAATAAGAACCAAATTCACCGTAGCCTTTCATCTCACAAGAAATAGTAGAATAGCAAGGCTGGGTTAACAATCATTTAGGTATCACCCTTACCTCTTGCAGGTTATAAGACTCGTAATCAAATATTTCCATCTTCGTCAGCGGATTGTAGACAAAAGGAAAGCAGCACAAAGAGACGGGACAGTTGTCCTCTTTGTTCAATTTCTTGCAAAGAAAGAATGTTGTTTAAAAGAATGGGTTCGTGTGGTAAGTCAAACAAACATACTCCCTTTTCCAGCAGTCTGTGGTCTCCACCCAACTTTGACTCTCTCACATACACTTTTCTGTGGCAAGAATAAAGATGGTGTCGTTTGCCATATGGCAGCCATTACCACAATTCTCAAATGCTTTCATCCCTGTGTGATTCAAACGTTGATTACACTGATACAAAATGGCTACCCTTCCACAATGGATGCTGTTTATTAACGTGTGAACAGCTAACTCAAACAAGGTAGCTTCTTCACTTTGGAAAGTTCACTTTGAATAAGGGACAAAAATCTAAACAGGAGCCAACTTCAGTTTGTGTTCTGCCCTTTACAAAACAAACTAGTTCAGCTCACGTTCAGTTCAATTCATCCAAAGGATCCTCAGAATGTGACAAGCTGCTGTATATGTAATTTCAAATATAAAAAAGGTAAAGGTACCCCTGCCCATACGGGCCAGTCTTGACAGACTCTAGGGTTGTGCGCCCATCTCACTCAAGAGGCCGGGGGCCAGCGCTGTCCGAAGACACTTCCGGGTCACGTGGCCAGCGTGACAAAGCTGCATCTGGCGAGCCAGCGCAGCACATGGAAACGCCGTTTACCTTCCCGCAGTAAGCGGTCCCTATTTATCTACTTGCACCCGGGGGTGCTTTCGAACTGCTAGGTTGGCAGGCGCTGGGACCGAGCAGCGGGAGCGCACCCCGCTGCGGGGATTCGAACCGCCGACCTTTCGATCGGCAAGCCCTAGGCGCTGAGGCTTTTACCCACAGCGCCACCCGCGTCCCAATTTCACATATACTGCTATGTAAAATAAAGTTCAGACTAATAAAACATCAAAACATGCACACTGGAATGAGAATTGTTTAGTTTTCCCAATGATCTTTAAGCTTAGACCCCAAGATTTTAAGAGCAAAAAACACATGTAAGCGATTGCACTTGAAGATGAACTAGAAATAATTCAAAGTTCTAACCCAAAATGAAATAAATTCACATTAGGTTTATCCGGCAACTAGGGGAACTACATTTGGGTGTAGTTCAAACAGTTTTGAACTAATTCAGCGAACTTTACTAAACCAAACTACTGCATTCCAAGAACTGTCTTAAACTGGAGAAAGGATGAGTCAATTTGGGTTCCTCTTAGTCAGAGGTTAGTGCAGCCTATTGACTATGCTGGCCAGGGCACATAGAAGTTGAAGGGGTACAACACTGGCTATCTAAATCTACCATAATATATTCTGACTGGCAGCCTCTCTGAAAGACATGCAGAAATCTTGTCCCAAGTCCTGCTACCTACGATCTTCAACAAGAAACACAGGACTGAGCACATGCTCTCATTTAAGATATGCAGAAGCATTTCTCTCAACCTTATCAAATTTGTGCAAGATACACGAGCTTGGCATTTCTTAGCTTTTTGACACAAAGCAATCATACTTACCATGGCTTCCACCCATACATGCCACCTTGCCAAATCTGCAAAGGGATTAATTATTTGACGGATTTCATCAATGTAGAAGTTGCTTAGCGGGAGCTTGCAGTTAGCCCTCTTGTTGACCTTGAAGGACAAGCAGAAGAAGGTTGAGGTCCATATGATTTTACACCTAGAAATACCATATTTTTCGCTCAATAGGATGCACCCGACCATAGGACACACCTTGTTTTAGAGGGGGAGAACAAGGTGCCCCTTCCATTTCTCCTCTCGCTTGGCTGAGGGGTCGCTGCGCAGCTCTCCCTCTCTGCTGAAGACAGGAGAGTCTTGCTCTCCCGACTTCAGCAAAAGGAACCCAAGCGCTCCCTCCGCGCTCTGGAGGCTTCGCGTTGCTATCCCTGAAACCAAGGAGCCTGCATTCGCTCCATAGGACACACACACATTTCCCCTTAATTTTTGGAGGGGGAAAAGTGCATCCTATAGAGCGAAAAATACGATAGCTACCAGATCATCAGCCCACATTTACAAGATGTTGCCTACCTTGTAAAGCTTTTTCAGGACTTCCAGGAGAGGTAACAGCACCTGGCAGGCAGGGTAGTATGAGTAACAGGGCAGCTGAGAGAGCACCACTTTCTTTAGCATCTGAACTATTCGGTCTAAATGCGAGGCTGGCAAGAAGGACCAACATTTTTCTGAAAGAAGAAAAAGAACATGCAAATCTTATTCTACTTCCCCACAGCTCACTATTCAGATAGGAATATTTCCCCACACAAGCAGTCCTGTTTTCTTCTGCTTGTTGTCCTGCTGCAACAAACTTCTTATTTAAAGTGCATCAGATTACCTGAGGTTGGTTAGGCTGAGAGGCAGTGCAGGCCCTGTTGACATTTTCATTCCACCTTAAGGAACAGACATGGGATTGTTACGTGTCACATATCTGTTCACATTCCAGCACAGTATGCTGGGAACTTCCATTGTGCATATAGTTTTTGCTTTTGCTGTTCTTTCTGAGATGACATGAGAGAGAGACGACATGTTTCTTTGACCTGATTTATGATTAATAAATCTGTAGCTGTAGTATGCTTCCACAAGCCTCACGCCTATTCTGGGTGCGCAGTTCGATCTGCTGATAGTGTGCCCTGGCTCAGAAGCCCGGGTCGCTGATTTACATCAGAGCAGAGGTGATGGTCTTCGCAGTGGGATGGCTGGAAGGAGACGGCGCAGCTGGGGTAACCAGCTGGCCTCTCGGCCCTCTGCATGCTGATAGGCCCAAGGTCACCTAGTGAGCTTCATGTCTGAGTGGGGATTTGAACCTTGGCCTCCCAGGTCCAAGACTGACACACTAATCACTGCACCACACTTGGCATTCTGCTTCTCATCAAAATATCTAGAAATATTTGGGGGTGGGGCAACACTGGGGTCTCCTTGAGGGCATTTTGCCTAAAAACTGAAGCTGACCCCATTTCATCAGGCACACCAACTCACATGCAAGCTTCACTTCCGACCGTTATGAACCTAGAAACTCCCATCTCCATTCCTCAAATAAAGCACTGGGTTTTATAGAATTCCATTATCCACACCAAGTTCTGTGCAAGGACAGTGGAACGATGTCAACTTGGCTTCTAAGACAGACAGGACTGTGTTTGCTATCCTTCTATGGAAGCCCAAGAGAAGACAGATTCATGGGTCCTGGGAATCGGCGCTTTCATTGTAAAGATGCTGCAAGTTTTTAACGAGTGGCATTGTGCAGGCAGCAACGCCAACCAAAATCTCAGAAGCTAGGAGTTGGCCAAGCAAGACTTGCAGCAGCTGGACATGGGAGTTCAGCTCTCGGCAAAACTATCTGAACCACCCCGTGGCAAGCAAACCAAGGATGAATTGCAAAATAGACTTAAGCTGATCAATGCAAAATGGGAGCAAATGTACCCTGAGCAAATCTGCAAGATTTAGACAGGTCACAAGAGTCCAGAATTTCTTTGCAGAATTGCTAATTGCAGGGGCTTCAAATATATGTTACCTCTTAGGACACATGCATACCCCACGAAAAGAACTGCTTAGGTTTGTGTCCCTTCAAGACTCTAGCTTTTCATGAGCATACTTCCAACTGTTGTCATATCTACCTGTCAGATGGCAGTGGTGGTTGCTCGTGAGTAACCAGTCAGGACTCCGACCTGTCTTTCACAGGTTTTATTTTGGTGCAAAACTATTTACAGTGCAGAGCCACAAGGTCATGTCTGCCTCAGTCGCTAGTGGAATCCAGGAGTGGTCATTTCCGGGTCTTCCCCCAGCATAAGAGCTTCGTCACCCCCAGCCTTTTCCTTCCTTCTTTGCATTTTACACCTCTGCGCAAGGTGGGCGATGGCAAGGGCGTGCTTCCCTCCTGGCCAGCTTAGCCAGGAGCAGTGCTGAGGCTTCCAGCAGCATCCTCTGGTCCTTTCCCCTCTTCCCCACTGGAGGTGTGGCTTTCCTCACCACAGGAAGAGGAACTGCTTTGCAAGATTTTCGGAGGTTCCCTGTAACCCAACTACCCCTCTGCTTCCCCACCCTGTTCCGATGGCAGAATCCTGACACTACCTAAGCAAGAAGAACTGCTGCACTAAGTTCAAGAAGGACACTGACAAACTGGAACGTGTCCAGAGGAGGGCAACCAAAATGGTCAAAGGCCTGGAAACGATGCCTTATGAGGAACAGCTAAGGGAGCTGGGCATGTTTAGCCTGGAGAAGAGGAGGTTAAGGGGTGATATGATAGCCATGTTCAAATATATAAAAGGATGTCATATAGAGGAGGGAGAAAGGTTGTTTTCTGCTGCTCCAGAGAAGCGGACACGGAGCAATGGATCCAAACTACAAGAAAGAAGATTCCACCTAAACATTAGGAAGAACTTCCTGACAGTAAGAGCTGTTCGACAGTGGAATTGGCTGCCAAGGAGTGTGGTGGAGTCTCCTTCTTTGGAGGTCTTTAAGCAGAGGCTTGACAACCATATGTCAGGAGTGCTCTGATGGTGTTTCCTGCTTGGCAGGGGGTTGGACTCGATGGCCCTTGTGGTCTATTCCAACTCTATGATTCTATGACTTCCTGGGAGCCTATTTGTACCTCTAGCCTGTTCCAAACCCATGGGACGTCACATTTTGGAAATCCAGGCTCACATCGTGACCACATACTGATATCACACTAAACGGCGGTTTCGTGTGACCAGGGGGTGGGGGGTGGGGAGGAAACCAACCCTCCAATTACCTAGAATGTCCAAAGAGCGCTTGCTCAGGCCCTTGACAGCCTTTGCAAAGGGAATAGCCAAATGCTGCATCTTCTGGGCTTCCAGCGCTGCACAGCACTCTGGCAGCAGGAGGAAGCTGGAGAGAGCCTCCTGGTGAGGAGAATTCAGTGGAAGGGCAGGAATCAGGTTGTCCAGCAAAGAAGAAAAGATCTGGAGCCGATTTTGCAAAAAAAGAAAGAAAAGCAGTGTGTTTAACTGAGTATGGATTGCAAACACCCGCTCCTACCCCCTTACAGTTAACTTCTTTTTAGCTTTACTTTTGTAAAGTTAATGTAGGAATTGGAGCACACTGCTAAGGCCTTCCTATTGGCTCTGACATCTGTAGGGCTAGACAGTTCAAAGAGCAGCAGCAAAACAACCCAATCAAAGCCAAGGCTGTGTACAATTGCAAACACGGCACTTTTGCACATAGCTGTTTGTAACTGTACACACCATTGTGCACTAACATCCTTGATGTCTGTACACAGAGGCGGGCATGTTTTCAAACTAGTGTGCAACGGTGATCTCTCTTCCCCTCACTTAAGGTGGATCTAGACAAGGGGCGGGGGCGGGGGACACACTATAACTAAGTCAGAAATTAGCTTGTTATAACAAAAGGAAAAAAATCTCTACGGAAAACCACATTTTGAAATTTCCTGCTCTCCAGCACCATCTGGTGTTGCATGTTTATAGCGCATTCAAATTGCTGTTTCTTTACCAATGTAGCCGAGTCCTTACGTGGTATTTTTAATACTCTCTCTATTTCGAATGAGGGGGGTTTGAAACTGTTGCGTTGGTTTAATGATATACAGAGGCAACTAAGTCACTGCACTGCAATGTCAGTAGACCTGAGAAAGCACTCTCAGTGTACACACGTATGCAGCAAGCCATTGAGAAGTGCATTCTCAGCACAAACTTGGATCATAACCGTTCCAGCTGCTTTAGACTGACAAGAGGGACAGGGGGGTGATATCATATGAACAGCACCCCCCCCAAAAAAGGCGCTTGCATCCAGAACAGAGCGCATGTTATCACCCATTGTGCACATGCTCTTCGAAATCCATCAGAGATTACAAGCCTAAGGAAAATCAGTCTAAGGGGTGGCACTGCCAGTCAGTTGCTCCTCGGTCCCAGTGTTGCTCCTTATAGAACTCAAAGAGGGAGAAGAAGGATGGAGACAAACTTTGAAATGGTTGGCTCTGTCTCCACATACTGTCGACCTCTTCACCTTCTGCTCTACAAGTCTCCATGGGAACCAGTCACGCCACTGGGGGGGGGGGAGGACCACTCACACCCAAATGTTGACACTAGGAAAAAGGGGTCTTTCCTCCCTTACCCTGCCAGCAATCCAGTCCCTTGTAGCAAGTTCCTCAAGCATTTCTCTCGCTTTCTGAAGATCCACTGCTACGCAGCAGCCAGTCTCCATGGCAGATCTGGGGGTAAAGTTACCATTTTGACACCTTATACAGTGGTGCTTCAGGTTACAGATGCTTCCAGTTACAGACTCCACTAACCCAGAAATAGTACCTCGGGTTAAGAACTTTGCTTCAGGGTGAGAACAGAAATCGCGCGGTGGCGGCGCGAGGCCCCATTAGCTAAAGTGGTACCTCCGGCAAAGAACAGTTTCAGGTTAAGAACGGACCTCCAGAATGAATTAAGTTCTTAACCCGAGGTACCACTGTACAGTGGATGCTCGGGTTGTGAACGTGATCCATGTGAGAGGCACGTTCGCAACCCACAGCGTTCGCAACCCGCAGCACCGCATCTGTGCACGCACGGGTTGAGATTCTGCGCATGCGCCAAAACCTGGAAGTAACCTGTTCTGGCACTTCCGGGTTCAGCATGGTGCGCAACCCGAAAACGCGCAACCCGAAGCATCTCTAACCCGAGGTATGACTATGTAAGAAAAGCAAAATAATTTCCTAACAAAACTTCTGGGCGTCTTCTGCATGTTTCATCCCATGCAGCGAAGGCTACTTACCGTGGTTTCAGAAAACTTGCTGCTAAACAAGGAGAGGAAGAAAATATTGCTTCGATTTCTCTGCAGAAAAAGGAGAAGAAAACCAATTTTAAAAACCAGCAACAAGTCAGCCTGGTTACAGGTGTGTTGGATTTCATATTGATGTAAGCACTCTGTCTGGGGGTACCGGTGGATCATTTAGATATAGTTTAAAATCCAGCTTACAGGAGCCCTAGTAATTGCAATGTTAATACTTTTGGATTATGAAGTGTTCCATATTAACATATTAATCCTATGTTTTTGGAAGCAGGTCCCAGGAAGTATGTTTAGGATTGCATTCTAAGTAGAGCTTAAATCTGGGATGGAGAACCTGCAGTTCTCCATAGGTTGTTGGCCTCCCAAATTACATTAGTCTCAAACATCATGGCCAATGGTTGGTTTTGATGGGAGTTGTAGTCTAGAAACATTTGGAGGGCCACAGGACTGCTGTCATAAACAGAAGCAATGGAACACCCAGTTGCCAACACCCAAGTAAGACTCATCATAAAATTAATTGTCTGCAGCAGGGGTTCCCACACTGTGGACTATAGACCACTAGGGGTCCATGAGTGTCATTCAGGTGTGTCTGTGGATTCATGTGGATTCCATTGCATTATATATATTCACATCGATTTTTAATTGCATTTTTATTGCTTCTTTTACTTTCTGTATTGTATCTTACTGATTCACAGCCTATAGCATTCCAAGATGTAATGCAACAAGATATAATTGCTGTCAGAAATAAAAAACAAGACAGCATCGAGCACAGTGCACTGCAACAACAGGCAGAAAAATATTTAAGTAGTCTACCGAGACCCTCAGCAATCTTCAAGTGGTCCGTGATGGGGAAAGTTGGGGAACCACAGATCTGCAGTATACATGGCAACTGGTTTACTAAAGAACCCTCTTTGCAGTTTTGTCTGGGGAGCCCCAGCAAAATGGGCAGGGTATGAATAATAATAAAATAAATAATAATAATAATAATCTGGCTTATTATTATTATTATCTGTCTAATGTTTTGGGAAGGATCGTTGCAATAATAGAATTAAGTGTGCCATTATTGACAGAGAACAGAACTGTCTACAGTGGCTCTCCACTGTTTTAGTTGTAAAGCCTGATAAAAACAGGATTGAAGGTTTATGCTCTGTTTTTTCTCCCGTTAAAGGAAAAGAAAATATAGACCGCAACCTTTTGGCCGTCTGCCGCGTCACACTTTCCGCTGTTGCCAACAACCACTTCTCCATCAGTGCCCTGTCCATCAGGCTAATCTTTGGCAAGGTTTCCATAGAGGTGGGTGTATTTGCATACGCAGAATCCTTCGAAACAAAAACACGCCACACACAATACAAAATGTCATGTCAAAGAGTATCCCCCGGTGTCACATGGCTAATCACTGATAATAGAAGCCCAACAGGGACAGAGATCACCTTCACAGAATTGTAGAGTTGGAAGGGACAACTCCCACCACAAGAGTCATTTAGAGCAACCCCCTGGAATGCAGGAATCTCAACAAGGCAGATGGTCCTTCAACCTCTGCCCATAACCCCCCAATGAAGGAGAGCCCCCCCCCACTTTCCGAGGGAGTCTGTTCCACGGTTGAATAGCTCCCACCATCAGAAAGTTCTTCCTGATGTTTAGTCCAGAAGCGGTGCACAGGTTTGAGATGAGGTACGGGCCACTCAAATTTGGTCCATATAGTTTAAAACAGGCTTCCTCAAACTTGGCCCTCCAGATGTTTTTGGCCTACAACTCCCATGATCCCTAGCTAGCAGGACCAGTGGTCAGGGATGATGGGAATTGTAGCCTCAAAACATCTGGAGGGCAGAGTTTGAGGAAGCCTGGTTTAAAAGATCAGCTGGTGAAAACTTAGCTGTAGTGAAAACTACAGCTACAGTTCACTGTTACAGCTGAATACTGGGACAATTCACAAAATGCCACACAGATATGTGCAAGTGTATCTATAGGATTCAATATACTCCAGATAGAATTATCTCAGCAATCCTTATAAACAGCCTGGTTAGGGAGCTCAGAATTATTCTTCCCATACTGCACCTGGGGTCAGGGGGAGGAATGCAGAAGCAGAGGAAGCGGAAAAGACTGAACACCTTAGGCAAGCCACAGTGTAGTGAGTTCAGGCCCAAGATGTGGTATGAACTCAAGAGTTTCAGCCTCATTATCTTTAGTTATTACCAAAGTTATTATTAGCAGTTTGCCAAAGCTAGAAGCATGCTGCTGCATTATTTTATTTTTCTATGCATTGCTTCCCACAGGCCATCCTGAAGTGCTTTGCAATAGAATAAAAACATATATAAACTGCTATATAGATATATTTAAAAACTCAAACACACACAGAAAGAGTGCTCAAGAGAACAACAGTACAGTGGAGCCTCAGTTGTCAAACGTAATCCATTCCAGAAGACCGTTCGACTTCCAAAACGTTCAACAACCAAGGCGCAATAGGCGGTTAGCAATTTTGATGGGAGAAAATGGAGGAACGTGCCTTGGAAGCCGTTCAACTTTTGAGGTGCGTTTGAAAACGGAAGCATTCAACTTCCAGGTTTTCGGCATTTGGGTTCCAAATCATTTGGCTGCCAAGACACTCGAAAACCAAGGTTCTACTGTACATACATAAAATCAAATCGGATCCAATGCAGATATCCACTGGGATAAAAAATACCTCCATTGAGAAGGCTTGTTGAAAGCTGACATGAAAGCTGTGCCCCCATCCTGTAGAAAACACCCCAAAGTCAACAGAATATACAGAAAAGGTGAGCCATCTACCTGCGTCCGAAGCACCGTGGCAAAGGTGACGTATGGTCCAGCAAAAATCCGTTTTACTCGGACACCCAGCAATTCTGCAATGAACATGAAAGCGGATCAGCCCTAAATGCTCAACCCATGTTAACTGGGCTTCTTTTCCTGGTACTTTCCCTTCCCTCTTCTCCTGGGATCATCAAAGCAAATTCTACAGGAACAGTTTTGGGATGTCCATAGAAGACTATTTAATCAGGAGAAGCTGTGCAAGCCCTGAGCCAGTACCTTAACGCAGCGGCAGACAACCAATAAACTGAGTTTGAATCTGGGGAAGACAGTTCTGTGGGTAGGTGGCTCCTGGGTCAGGAAGAAAGGGATTGGGAACCCATGGCCCTGCAGATACTGCTGGACTACAGCTCCCTGCCAACTGGCCAGGCTTGCTGGAGCTAATGGGAAATGGAGTCCAACGACATCCACAAGGACACAGATCCCACACCCCTGATACAGGATACAGACCACAGGAGATGCAGTATTAAATATACATTTTAATAATGAAGAGTATGTTTGTAGTCTTCACAGAGCCAGATTCTTTTCTAAACATTGTTGCTGTTTTTATTTTCTAAGTCTTTTGTACAATTTTCAGAAACGCAGGTGAATCAATTAATTTAATTTTTGAAAGAGAAAAGATGTACCATTAGGAGAAACCAGAGCGCTGATGTTAAAGCATGGTCTCCTGTCGCTTTTGCTAGAAGATGGTCCACTTCCATTGCGCTGCTGGAGTCCATGTCCAAAAGATATCAGTTGCCCAGAAGCAGAGATACAAACAGTGTGATAGCTGTTTGAGGGGAGAAAAAAGTGTATGTTTTATCTACACGCACCTTACAGAATATAACTAGAGGTCCAGCAGTGAAACTCTATTTCTGTTGTATCAGTTAAATGACCCTTGGTATTATTTAATTCACGTACTGCTCAGTCATTAGCATTTCTAAGCAGTGTACATACAAATAAAGCGTACAGAAAGGCAATTGTAAAATGCAATGTCAGCTCATAGCAATGGATATAATCTTCTGTTTTACAATTTAGAATACTCATTTAAACATCCTTAAAATATCAATGACTTCCCTTCTTCTCTTTCCATGGTTCATTTTGCATATCATAAGTCCCTGCATTTATTTACAAAAACTAAACCTTTCAATATTCCATTATTCAAAACTTATTTACAATGTTGAATTTGTCTTAATGCTGCCAACCTTTTCAAGTGTACACAATTTCCCCCCATATATTCAATAAACGTTTTCCACTCTTCTCTAAATGTTTATGTTCTTCTTGTTCTCTTATTCTGTATGTTAGCTCTGCAATCTGCGCATATTCCATCAGCTTAAGTTGCCATTTTTCTTTAGTTGGGACCTCGTTCGTTTTCCATCATACCAATGGATTTTGACAAGTGTTGTGTTGTTGTTTTTTTGCTTGCCAGGAATTCTATGTCCCATTACAGCAGGGAGAGGGAACCTGTAGCCCTCCAGAACTGGTTGGACCCCCGCCCCTGTTATCCTTAGCCAGCACGTTAATGTTCAGGAATGACGAGAACTATAATCTAACAGCATCTGCAGAGCCACAGTTTCCCCATGATCTGTGCTTTACAATTTCACTGATGTGCCACTTCACTTTCACAGACGAAATTCTGCAGGGTGAATCGGTGTAAAGCAGAGAATGAGCTGTGTCAGCCAGCTCTGACACCCCCATGACAGCCTACTAGCTTGCCCCACTTCCTGAAACACATGCAGACACAGTAGAAGTGTCAATAGACAGCAAGCAGGTATTGAATGACGTCAGGACCAAGACCAATGTTTATAAAGGTAAAGGTAAAGGACCCCTGACAGTTAAGTCCAGTCGCAGATGACTCTGGGGTTGTGGCGCTCATCTTGCTTTACAGGCCGAGGGAGCCGGCGTTTGTCCGCAGACAGTTTTTCTGGGTCATGTGGTCAGCATGGCTAAACCGCTTCTGGCTCAACAGGACACCGAAACCAGAGCAGCACACGGAAATGCCATTTACCTTCCCACCAGAGTGGTACCTATTTATCTACTTGCACTTTTTGGCGTGCTTTCGAATTGCTAGGTTGGCAGGAGCAGGGACCGAGCAATGGGAGCTCACCTCGTCGCGGGGATTCAAACTGCCAACCTGATCAGCAAGCCCAAGAGGCTCAGTGGTTTAGACCACAGCACCACCCGTGCCCCCTGTAAGACCAACATTACATATGAGTAAAGCTATGGTACATACCTTCCACACGCCAGATGAGAAACTGGACCATCAACTGAGTCAAGTTTCTCGGGGCCAGTCTTTAGGGCTGAAGAACTACGCCCTAGTTGTCCAGCGCTGTCATCTCCAAATGTGAATACGCTGCCGTTCTATTCAGAGTTTTGGCAAAACAGAGTTCTAGCATTAAACTATTATTACTCTTGTTAATAATGCCTATTGTGTGTTTCCAGTTCCAAGAAAATAAAACGGTTCTCATTTCTCATTCCTCTTGCAACCCCACACACTGCTTTTGTAAATTATCTGCTATGAAGGGACTATAGCTCAGCAGTACAGCATGCAGAAGATTCAAGAGTCAACACCAGGCATCTTCAGGGAGGGCTGTTCCCTCACTTTCAGGCACAATCTGGTGCTAGTCAACATCAAAAGGTTTGGGGTGTACCAACCTGAGTGAGCACAGCGGTATGTTCATCTCCACAGCTGACGTAACTCACATCAAGTTTCCTCAGAGCAGCTATTGAGTGCGGTTTGAAGATTTGCTCTGTTGGAGAGGCATATTTGCTTATCATAATGAAATGTGTTGTTATGTCCAATTTTTTTTTTATAAAAAAAATGTCATTATGCTAATTTCTGGTTAGATTTCAAATTCACTTCCTATCAAGGCAACCATCAACACTTTAGGCTAGATCAGAGCCAGAACAGCAAATTTTGGAAGACTTTTTATTTTAAAAACTTTTTTTAAAAAAGCATGTTAAGTGAAAAAACAGGGCAGATGTAATATTTAAAGGTCTGGTGTAGTGGTCTGAACACTAATTTTAAAGGAAGCTTCCGTATAGGGGCTTAATATCACAAGGGAGTTGTTGCTAACAGGTTCTCTCAACCAGAATTGGGAGAATCTAGATTAATTGAGGAAAACTATGGCTTATCTTGTGATGCCAACAACACTGTGTGGACACTGGAGAAAGGGGAGCCTTGCATGCATGAGGAGCACCTATTCCACAACCATCTTGAAGCACCCTAACTTGTTTATGCTCTGAAGGATGTTGTGGAATCATCAAAACCACTTCCACTTAGTTTTCCACCTCAATAGTCCTCACTTCCTTGGGCAACCATTACACAACCGGCAAGTGGAAGCAACCAAGAGCTGGTCATCAAGTAAACATGATTTTAAAGACCATGCTTACCTTTGGGGTCGGCCTGACTCAATCCCAGCTGGTGTGCGTTGTTCTTTCCCCATCCGTACACAACTCCGGAAAGGGACAGGGCAAAACTCTGTGACCCGCCGGCAGCCACTTGAGCCAACGGGATGCCGTCAAGAGCAGAAATTTGCTGTGGCCTAGCCTGGTTCGTGACTTCTTTACCAAGACCAAGCTGGCCGTGAGTGTTCTGCCCCCATGAGAAAACTCTGCCATCTTCATTTGAGGAAGAAGAGGAGGAAGGAAACAGATCACGTATTTACATGGCAGCCTCCTCACAAGCTGGAAAGACCAGCAAACCTTTCTTCGTCAAGGGTACCATTTTTACACCAAGCTGCCTGCTGAAGAGCCCTTGGAAACACCAGAGGATTTCAGGGTCTATTCCAGAGCAGCTCTTCCCAACCTTGACAACCCTTCACCTCCCTTTGGGCTAAAGCTGGAGCTGAGATATCTCTGGTCTGTGGGCCTGGCTAGTCCACCAGGCCTCCCCACTTGGCCCCACAGAAGGCCATTTCAGCCATGCCACGCCCCCATCAGGTTTGGGGCAGGTGAAAATAGGTGCCTGCAATGCCATATGCAAAGCACTGGGCAAGACAGCAATATGAAAGAGGAGGAAAAGGTCACCTGACATCATTGTGGTGTCAGGTGATTGATAGGTGGGAGGCTCCACCCACCTATCAAGCTCCACCCACAAAGGGTTGGGGAGGTAACCCTTTTGCCCACTAGTCAGGGCCAGTTCTATACTCCAGGACTAAGGCCTGCCTAAGATTCCATTGAAGCCATAGCTCTATTGGTTAGAGCATGGTGCTGATAACGCCAAGGTTGCAGGTTCGAATTCCCGTATGGGACAGGAGGTTGGACTGGATGATCCTCAGGGTCCCTTCCAACTCTACGATTCTATGACATTTTGAGATTCTATTATTACAACCAAGCATTTGAAGCAAATCATTGAAATGGAGCAAAGTTTGAAGTGAATGGTTACCTTTCGCCAGGGCTATTGAGTGATAATTCCCGCAAGCAACTTGTATTATTTTGTATTTAGACAAACCATCCACCTTCCTGTAAAAGTTATGGAAAGAAAAGTTTAGATTTTACAATTCAGGAAAAAAAGTATTGAGACAGAATAAATTTATGAAGTCAACATGCCGAGGGTTATATATTAATTAGGGTTATTTATTAAACATGCTTAGGGGAAGCAGTCATATTGTGATTGACACTTTTAGAATGGGGGTTTAGGCATTTAAACAGGTTGATGTTGTTTTTCTTTTCTTTTTTAAAAAAGGGGGTTGGCCAATTGGTCTGGCAAATAATGGTAAACTATTTTTAAAGCATTAAAAAAAAAGACAACCAGCAAGTTGCTAATGTGCTATCATTGCTATTTTAAATTAATGACTATAACTGAATGTTATGCTAAATATCCAGAAATGCAGATGACTCATTTTAGCAGTCGTTCTCTTTAGCTTTTAACCAGAACACCGGGGTCAGCCTACAGTAGTAATATGTATTCTTAAAGAAAATAACAAGCAAAAGGTAAGAGGGAGAAGTAACAGCAACTATTACAAAACTGAAACAAAGTTTAAAGGCAGCTGTGCTAAGCAAGCAATCAGCCTGGGAGAACCATTTCCTTCCCCAGGATTTTGACTACAAACAACTTTTTCAGTTTTTTCTTATCTGCAAGAAAGGAAAGCCATATACAGTGGTACCTCGCAAGACGAATGCCTCGCAAGACAAAAAACTCGCAAGACGAAAGGGTTTTTTGTTTTTTGAGCTGCTTCGCAAGACGATTTTCCCTATGGGCTTGCTTCGCAAGACGGAAACGTCTTGCAAGTTTGTTTCCTTTTTCTTAACACCGTTAATACAGTTGCGACTTGACTTCGAGGAGCAACTCATAGAACGCGGTGTGGTAGCCTTTTTTGAGGTTTTTAAATACTTTGGTGATTTTTGAAGCTTTTCCATAACTTTCCCGACACCGTGCTTCGCAAGACGAAAAAAATCGCAAGACGACAAAACTCGCGGAACGAATTAACTTCGTCTTGCAAGGCACCACTGTAGTTCGATAGCAGCACCCATGGTTTGCATGCAGAAGGTCCCAGGTTCACAATCCCTAGCATTTCCAGGTAAGGAAAGGTGGGCAGTTTTTGAAGAGGCAAGTACAGTCCAGATCTGAGGCAGAGGAGAGAAAAACTCCCAAGGCTGTCAGGAAAAAGCATAGCTGAAAGGAGATTCAAACTCCCCTTTCCCTGGATGAAGTCAGTACAGTCGGACCTTGGAAGTCGAACGGAATCCGTTCTGGAAGTCCGTTCAACTTCCAAAATGTTCAGAAACCAAGGCATGCCTTCCAAGCTGGATGTTCAGGTTCCAAAGAACATTTGCAAACCAGAACACTCACTTCCTGGTTTGCGGTGTTTGGGAGTCAAAACATTCGACTCGCAAGGCGTTTGTCAACTGAGGTACGGCTGTACTCCCACATTTACTACACAACTCTGTTTTGGCAAGAGAGTATTACGCACAGTGGTACCTCGGTTTAAGAACTTAATTCGTTCTGGAGGTCTGTTCTTAACCTGAAACTGTTCTTAAAGTGAGGTACCACTTTAGCTAATGGGGCCTCCCGCTGCAGCTGTGCCGCTGCCACACAATTTCTGTTCTCATCCTGAAGCAAAGTTCTTAACCCGAGGTACTATTTCTGGGTTAGCGGAGTCTGTAACCTGAAGTGTCTGTAACCTGAAGCGTGTGTAACCCGAGGCACCACTGTATTTGCTGCTTACTTTGGAATCAGACGCTCTTTTAATTCTCCAGTGCCCAGCTGTCCAAAAGCTCCAGCTCCCCACGAAAAAACTCTCCCGTTGTTGCAAACGGCCAGTGAGTGCTCCTTCCCACAGCTTACGTAGACAATGGTTTGTGTTTCCAGCGCTTGAATTTGCTCTTTCAAAGATGGACACATAAAAAAGAATATTCATTTGTATAGCCAGAGGGGTCATTGACATATGTAAACTGTCTAGAAAGGTAAATGGTGATGCCTTGGGTTCATGAACTCCCCCATTTGTGAGTCAAGATACCCACGGTTTGATCTTGGTATATTTTAGGTTACTATAGTTAGAACAAACCATAGGTTCTCAAGTTTGAAGGCCAAAAGTTACAGCAAGAATGGAGGATTTTGATCTCAAAAAGGGGAGGGCACGCACCCCCGGCTTGTTTCTATTAATGCTAAACCATGGTTTAACATCTGAACACGCCACTCAATGTGATTTAAAAAAAATGATTAGCAGCCTCATATCTGGTGTTGTTTGGTAATTCTAAGAACACCCCCCCCAAAAACCCACACACACCAGTGCAGTTTTGAAACAAGTGGTTAAAATCAGAGCAGTCTTCAAAGGATCAGTCTGCCATCTTCAATCAAAATGGCGTCCACTTGCATCCAAATATAGACAAAATCCTGCTCCTTGACTTCAGAAACCATCACGCAAAGCTTGAAGTCATGAATTAGCAGGTGTCCAAATGAATAGCAAACAGATGAATAAACAAGTTTCCAAAATATATAAATCTATTATTTATTGCACAATCTATATAAAGGGCATTTTTGTTGTTGCAAAGAATAGATATGATGGGTCAACTATCCCAAGCACATACCACCCAACTTTTTAGGGATGAGAAAGCCGGACATCCGCACACTCTTTCCGCCAGGCAGATGCGCAATTTGAAAACGGAAACAAAGCAAAAAAAAAAAAGCATTCTAAAAATGTTCTTAAAAAAACAATGCCCGTGTAAAGCATCTAAAAGCAGTTAAAAACATTATTCCTTTCAGTGATCTCACAAGTTGGCAGGTTCAGTGAGACCACAGTGCACGGAAACAAATCTGGTAATGGCCCATGGGGTTAAAGAGACCTCATCCACTTCTCTAATGCATGTGTCAGGAAGGTAAGAAACCAAACTTGAAACACAGAGGGGGAAAACAACCTTGCTGTGCAGATCTGGTGAGAACAACAACAACAACAATTTATTATTTATACCCCGCCCATCTGGCTGGGTCCCCCCAGCCACTCTGGGCGGCTTCCAACAAAACACTAAAATACAATAACCTATTAAACATTAAAAGCTTCCCTAAACAGGGCTGCCTTTAGATGTCTTCTAAAAGTTTGGTAGTTGTTTTTTCTTTAACATCTGGTAGGAGGGCGTTCCACAGGGTGGGTGCCACTACCGAGAAGGCCCTCTGCCTGGTTCCCTGTAACTTGGCTTCTTGCAGTGAGGGAACCACCAGAAGGCCCTCGGTGCTGGACCTCAGTGTCAGGGCAGAACGATGGAGGTGGAGACGCTCCTTCAGGTATACTGGACCGAGGCCATTTAGGGCTTTAAAGGTCAGAACCAACACTTTGAATTGTGCTCGGAAACATACTGGGAGCCAGAGTTGGTCTTTCAAGACCGGTGTTATGTGGTCTTGGCGGCTGCTCCCAGTCACCAGTCTAGCTGTCGCATTCTGGATTAATTGTAGTTTCCGAGTCACCTTCAAAGGTAGCCCCACAAGAGAAAGGGAAATCTTCCTCTTCCTAAGGGATGAGGGTGTAACAAAAGAAAGGCAGTGACCAACAACTAGTAGTTGCATTTGTTGCATCCCTTTTTCTAAAGGCAGTCTTGGATTAATTACTCCTTCCACGCTCTTTGTGAAAGCAATATTTTCCAGGAACGTATTTGCTGAAAAGGGCGTGATGCGAAATGGCAAAAGGTCATCAAACCTCCACTTGCAGAGCCGTCTAGTTTTTTTGTTTTTTTTCTGGAAGTCTAATTTCAGTTTGGACAAGTGCCCGGAGCAGACAAAAAACCTCATTATCTCAAATAACAGGGAGACCAGCAGGTGGCAAGAGCGCGCAGAAGAGAGGAAAGGAAACCGAAAGCGTCTTTGCAAAGCGCGCCTCCTCACCAGAGGCCTCTTACAGAAGGATGCGAGTCAAGGCTGAGAAGCGGAAACTGAAACTTAAAGGCGCTCTCAGGTACAGCGGTGACTCATCCCTACGTGGCGGGGAAGGGGCTGAAATATTTTCTCTCGGTGGGCGAGAAGAAGAGCCCCCCACCCCAAACCACTGTAGAAGCAGCCGAGTGGTAGAGCGGTAAAACTGCTGGCACATTTGCTAAACAAGGTCCGGTATGGGTTCAAATTGGATGGGGTGGACCAGGGGTTGGAATAGATGGTCTTTGGCGATCCCTTCCGACTCTGCCATTCTAGGATTCTATTTAATTTCAAGCCCCCAACCCCGGGGGTGTCCCCTGGTAGGAAGGGAATGGCTTGCGTTTTCCCACAACATCCTTTTAGATGTTTACCCCCCCCCCGCAGGTGTGTGTGTGTGTGTGTGTGTGTTTCCAGTCTAAAGTTGGAAGGAAGGATCCTTGGGATACAGTATTATACACAAAGAGGGAAGAATATCCCAGCTCAACAAAGGGAGGGAAGGAGGGGGAAGCGAAGTTTTTGCCTTTGCCAGGGGACGTCTACTTCATTTTTTTTTCATTTTCACCACCAATATTTGCATGCCCGGCCAGGAATGTACGGGCAGCTCACATCAATGCATATATTATTATTATTATTATTATTATTATTATTATTATTATTTGTAAACCGCCTTCACCCGAGGATCACAGGGCCGTTCGCAACATAAAGTGACAAAATGAAAACGCAAAACAATACAATAAAACAAAAGCAAAACAAACCAATACACCCCCCCTCCAAAGCAGCATTAAAAACATTCTTTCTGGCTTCTTTGGAAAGGAAGTGCAAAGAGGAAGATGCTCCGTTCACTCGACGGGGCGTGTGATCTCTTAGGATCGGTGCCTCCCCTCCTTCTCTCCCCTTTGTGATGGAAAGAGGTTTCCCAGATTTAGAAACTGCGAAGTGAGAAGAGGGTTAGAGATGGTAGAAAAAGACACGCGCGCCCCCCACGCCGACCCTTCGTGTAGTGTCCCTACCTGGCACGTGGGCGCGCCGCTGCCCCGGGGGGAGCCTCCTGCCCAGCTGCCCCTGGGCGTTGTCCCCGCAAGAAGCCACGCTGCCATCGGCCCGAAGCAGCAGCGAGTGCCGCTCCCCGCAGGCCACCAGCACCACCTCCGGCCCACCGGGGGCTTCGGGGGCCCGACGGAAAGGCAGCGGCTCCGAGACCCCGTCCTCGCCCAGCCCCAGCTGCCCGAAGGAGCCGTTCCCCCAGCAGCACAGCATCGTAGGCATCCTTGCTCCCTCCCTGCCCAACTTCGGCTCAACTTTCCTCCAGCTGGCTGAGCACCTCTTGCGCGCAACTGAGCTATGGGCCTGAATGGTGGCCAAACCGCGCCGCCTCTCCCAGAGGGCCCCGCCCACAAAAATATTCGGAGGATGGGAATCGGGGAGTGAATACTAGAATCACAGCATCGTGGAGTTGGAAAGAGACATCCAGGGTCATCTATTCCAACCCCCTGCGTTGCATCCCTCTCCTTGCTGGAGGAGTAGGGAGTTTCCTTTTTGCTTGTCACACAGCTCTTAAAACTGCAGGAGGGAGGGATAATAAGATCTTTTAAAAAAATAAATGCAGGTATTGTTGTGTGTTTCCCCCCCTGTTGGCAAGCATACTGTGTTTTTATCTCTTCCATTATTATTATTTTTAATTGATACAGCAAGAAAAGAAGAAAGAGAAAACACAAATACCAAATTACACACCGGAATAACCATAGACACATAATTTTCTTAACAAACGATAAAACATAAATTGGTCTTAACGCTAAAGACCCAACTTCCCGTCTATTCCATATTTTGATTTCACATTACTTATTGCCAATACAGTGGTACCTCGGGTTAAGTACTTAATTCGTTCCGGAGGTCCGTTCTTAACCTGAAACTGTTCTTAACCTGAAGCACCACTTTAGCTAAGGGGGCCGCCCGCTGCAGCTGTGCCGCCGGAGCACGATTTCTGTTCTCATCCTGAAGCAAAGGTCTTAACCCGAGGTACTATTCCTGGGTTAGCGGAGTCTGTAACCTGAAGCGTATGTAACCCGAGGTACCACTGTACACACTTTTATCATAATTAAACTTTTTCTTAATATATCTTAATTCTTATATCTACCTTGCAACTATTACTGAAGTTCCTCGAATGCTGCATACTGTATTTTTAAAGCGCTGCACACCTTAGGCTGCAGTGTGTCAGTCCCCTGCAAGTGCACTGTAACACTTGTTGCTGCAAGAAGTCACACTAACTGATTCTCAGCCTGTTAGGTGGATGTTAAATGCACAGGAGCCTTGTTGTTTTAAGAAGCAAAGCAGTTGTAATTGAAAACTAATAAAAAATATTATTTTTAAAAAAGGAGCAAAGTGGTGTTTTCAAACTATAACCCCACTGTGCTCTCTGCACCAACTTTGCCCCGTGTTAGGCAAAAGATTCCTACATTGCAGAGGGTTGGACTAGATGACCCCGGGTCCATTCCAACTCTGCAATTCCATGACATTGGTACCTTGGTTTACAACCATAATCGGTTCTGGAGGTCTGGTTGTAAACCAAAACAGGTTGTAACCCAAGGTGCGCTTTCGCCAATGGGGCCTCAAAAAAGAGGGGTTGTGTAATCTCCCCCCCAAAAAATGGGTTCAAAAAAAGGGACACACACTTCCCGATTTGACGTGGTTGTAATCCAAAACGGTTGTATTCCAAAGCGGTTGCAAACCAAGGTACCACTCTGTTCCGTTCTCTGTTACACTCTGCTTTTCTCCTCATTTCCCACCTCATATGGATTAGTCCCCTTTCCCCACATCTCTTAATTTCCCCTGTTCTTCCCACAGTCTTTGTTTTGGCCCTGTTTCAGTCATTATCCCTATCTCTTGCCTTATTTTACTCTTTGCTGGATTTGGCTGCAAATAGCACACCAAGCTTGCACTCCCACTGGAATTCACACAGTGAGGGAGTCTTAGCTGCGGGTGGATCTTGCAGTATAGCTAGCTTTCGCATCTTGCCTGGCTGGCTGCACCTGGCTGGAAAATGAATGCCACTTTAGGGTGGCCAGATATGGTTGGGGAAAGGGCAGGGCTGTTTGTCTTGCAAACTTGAATGGTTGCACAGAAGGAATTCAGCAGGAGCAGTTTGTCATGCAAAAGACACTTGATGAAATTCCCTCTTCCACACTCCTCTCAGAGGTGCAGGAGACATCATTAATTTTCCATTTGGCTGCAGATGTGCTCCAGTTGGAGAACAGCCTTTACCAAAGGTGTCGTGGACTTTGAAGACGCTCGAATTCAGGACGAAAGGGAGAAACGTGCTAAGAGGAAGGCACGCTTGGCAAACCCTCACCGTGATCAACTCCCTTCCAGATACCTATGTCCCCACCATGGAAGGACGTGTGGATCCAGAATTGGCCTCCACAGTCACTTGCAGACTCACTGTTAAGACCGTGTTCATGGAAGACAATCTTGGCTTTGAGTGATTGCCAAAGAAGAAGAAAGAAGGGTGTAGCTGGGGGGGCAAGGAGGGGCAGCTGCCCCCCCTAAATAAAAATACATAACAAAGTGAGGTTCTGCCCCCGCTAACAAAAGGCCTGCCCACCCCCAAAATCCTGGCTATGCCCATGGCAGTATGCCAACATTACTGCCTGGAGGCAGAGGAGAAACAGTGGCGATAGTGTCATAAGTTTGTGGGTGCCTGTACTCCCTTTTCTAATTCCAGGGTGCCAGACATTGGATTTAGCATGTTAAAATATAAGGCGTGTTTAAAAATAAGGCTGGCTGATGAAGTCATCGCCTGGAGGGACAGGCCATTGAAAAAGCACAAAGAAATGGCTGATGACCCATTAAGAAGGCCATAAGCAGAGACTCTCTGGGCCAGAAAGCAAATGGGGAAAACCCCTCCCAGAGTTAGCAGAGACAAAAGGACAGAGTTTCAGGAGGGAGGAGCAGAACTGCATAAGCTGAGGCAGAATCAGGGCCTGCCTAATGGAAGGGCAAATCCTGATTCTAGCCTTAGACCATCAGGGTTGTTTTTGTCACTGCACAGTATTTAATGATACATTGCCCCAGCAGAGGGCAGTGCACACGCAAAATATTTCAACTTGGTGGAAGTCTTACAACAAATCCAGCTATTTGCACATTGTAATGCAAATCATTGAGTCAGAACACGGTTCCACTGAGTTCAAGTTAAATGCAAATGCATATTGAATTGTGGCTATAACCCTGGAGCACTAAAAAACAGTTAAGCCAACTGAACTCAGTGGAATTTACTTCCGAGTAAACGTGCCTGCTAGTGGGCTGCACATTCTCACGTAACTTAAGATGTGCATCATCACTTGTTTCCATCTTGCAGAAGGGAAATTGGGCTGAGAGAGTTCTTGTGTTAGCAGGTGAGAAGGGAATCTTGACTGATGAAGTCATGGATGCTTTAGCTGAGATTCCTGCATGATGTGAACAGCACCTATCACACACAGAGACGCATAGGCCACCACCAACTCTACACCTGATGCTCTCACACTGCTGGTTTTTTTAAAAGCTGCATACACATGACGTTAGCCACGATCCACATTGATCCTGTACTTTCTTGAGAAACATTGCTATCTGATATCTTTTATCCTCAAACCAGCTTCAGTCTGACTAGAAAACACAAGACCACCTGTTTCTCAAAAGCCCCCTACTTATGAAAATGTTGTTACGAGTTATCTGTGGTAGTTTCTGTTATGCAAATGGTGCCACCGTACCCTCCAATATGTCCTAGCACAAAACTGATATGTGCTGCCGTGCAAGTCATGTGGTCCACGCATTTTTGGACACCATGCTCTCACACGAGAACACAGCCCCCTAAAATGGGATGTCCTGGACAGTTGGTGGGTAGGTTCCACCCTCGGTGCTATTGCTACTGACCCAGTCTATGACAGACTCTGGGGTTGTGCCCCATCTCACTCAAGAGGCCCGAGGGCCTCAGCGCTGTCCGGAGACACTTCCGGGTCAACGTGGCCAGCGTGACCAAAGCTGCATCTGGCGAGCCAGCGCAAGCACACGGAACGCTGTTTACGCGTTCCCGCTAGAATCCGGTCCCTATTTATCTACTTCACCGGGGGTGCTTTCGAACTGCTAGTTTGCAGGGCGGGGATTCGAACCGCCAACCTTTCGATCGGCAAGCCCTAGGTGCTGAGGCTTTTACCCACAGCGCCACCCGCGTCCCTTCCACAAACGCCTTCCTTGTTCTCTTATCATGGCAATAATGCCCACTTGAGAGGTGCCGGAACTGAGTTCCAGTGAGTTCTGGCTGGGGGAAAAAAGCCCCGATTAAACTCCATAGGATTTACTTTTGAGGAGACTTTTTTTTAAGATTGCACTGTCAGGTAATTTATTTCCTGTAACCCCATCCTGAATAAGCTAACTCAGAAGTAAATCCCTCCAAATATAATTCTCTTTACTTCCAGGCAAGTATGCCTGGGAACTCAGCCACTTACGTGTATTTTGAAACTGAGGCAGGCTTTATTTTCGTCAGCGTGTACAATCCTGAACTTTCATACCGTTGACTTGGTGGGCTAAAATCTTACGTCATTTGAGCTGCTGGTTTAATTTTTGCTTGTTTGCTTGGTTTTTTTGTTTTGCAGGGGAGTGTTGCTCTCTTTACCAGGGACACTATTTCATTACTGATGAAACATCCCTTCAAATATGCAGATGGTAAAAATAAACTTCCAAATAACCACCTAGAAAGAGTCCTAGAAGGTTTGTGAGAGGGGGATTGATGGCATCATGTTTTGCACCCCTAATATATTTATGTGGTTGACATGTGTCCTTCAGCTCTTGCTAGTGTTATAAGAATAAAAATAAAGACGGAATGTCGCCAGAAGAGGCCTTAGTGGTTGTATTAGTGAAAATAAATGACTCGCTGGAACAACTTCACAAGAAAATGGACGTGATAAATATGAAAGTGGATGCTGCAAATATTAAAACTGACTTAATGGTAGAAAGTTTAAATAACCTGGGACAAAAGGTGAATACTAATATAGAAACCACCCAGAAATTGATACAGGAATCTATCATGATACGGCAAACTGCGGATGAAGTTAAGGAGAAAACCCTTGCTGCTGAAGTTAAAGTAATTCAACTGGAGAGAGTCCCATCCATTCAAGGACAACTTTATGAATTCAAGCTGACACTGGTTATGACTGAACTTAAAGAGAAACAGATGAAATTGAGGATCAGAGCCCTACCCGAGGAAAATGTGAATATATTCAAGGGCAATTGTGAAGGACGTTGGCTTGAAGAGAAGGGGGATTTGGAAACAGGGTTAAATTGGAAGTGGTTATTGTTGGGCCGAGT